TATCTGGGCGACCAATACATATTCTGGAAGCACTAAGCCAATAATTCCTTATTCGTCATGAACACGCAGTCACACAAAAGAACCGTTTTGAGTATCTTAGAATATTGAGGACACCTGCGCACTTCTAGGCATGACAAAACTCAGGAGCTTAATGGTCAAAAGCAATTAGTAAATTTTAAGCCAGTACACTCTTGCATCAGTGTGAAATATATGTAATTCTCAGTTAATACATCGCCGTGAACAACGATGTCTCCATCTAATATGGTTGCGGGTTATGCTTTCGTGTGAATATAATATTTCGGACTTTTTCTGCTTAACATTTGTATTATTTTTTGCATTGTTGTATTCTATGCTTTGAGTGCTTTAGGCAGTGCTTGTCCTTGTATCATGTGTTTTACGATGGTCTGTCATGTGTACAGCACGGTATATCTCGTGTACAACCCGATGTGGCATGTGTACAACCCGATGTGTACAACCCGATGTGGCATGTGTACAACCCGATGGTACAACCCGATGTGGCATGTGTACAACCCGATGTGGCATGTGTACAACCCGATGTGGCATGTGTACAACCCGATGTGGCATGTGTACAACCCGATGTGGTATGTGTACAACCCGATGTGGCATGTGTACAACACGGTGTATCTTATGAGAATAGGAGTAAAGCTCCACGTACCATGTGTGGTATCTTGATGTTGGTGGTGATACTCCTAACGTTTTCCCGAGATGTTCCGAGATACCACCTGCACAGGATCTCTGCCTCATCCACCCGTTACGCTACTGGATCACTCCTGAATAGCAGCGAAGCGCCATAGGTAACCGTGGCAACCAGTACCAGATTTATTTCGTTCTTGTTACATGTGTCATTACTGACGGGGACCATGCGACTGATTTTGTCATCCATGGAGATATCGCGACGTTGCCTGTCAAAAGTAGAAATTCTACATCTTTATCGCATGTCTTTTGTCTAGCATCTTGCATTCGTGTATTATCAGCTAAGGTGCCCGTCACCTGTTTCAGTGTGTGTCAGAGTTGCAACACTTTGTCTGTTTATCTGTCTGATATATCTGCTATTACCACTGTGACGTGTATTGTCTTTACCGACAGCTTGCATTTCTCATGCTGAAAGTCGATGACGAATGAATATGCGGTCCCTGTATGAAGAGCACCTGCACACAGGGCGGACACCGTCTGGGTACAGGTGTCTACCACGCCGGCATCCGAGCAGATGAAGTACCCAGCTGATATAATTCGGTTCTCGGGACTCAGACAGACAGAATCGGATTACTGAATACATTTGACAGATTCAGATGGTAGGATAAATGTAACATATATTTGAGATTACACTTACTCAGTAAAGTACAGATTCTAGTTGAGATCCATTTGGGACTGTGTGTGCAGGCGATTAGGAGCTCTGCTCTGAGGGTTAAGTTTCGAAGCCCGAATTGCAGTCAATCCCAAAAAGTACTATCTGTACTTTACTGAGAACGTGTAATTCCACATATAACATGCATTACATTTGTCCACTTTAGAAAAGAGCAGAATATTCTTGAAGAATGGGGACACTTTTATGGATATACAACTTCTTTATTCTGTATAGGCGACGTTCCGACATAGATCCTAATGTCATTGTCAACGACATAAGATTGTCCTCATTCTTCATCTCCTGAGCTTCTAGAATTCCAATCAAAGAATTCAGTATATTCTGATGACAAAATCAGATAGTGGGATACAGCTGCCAGTGACAGATGGTTGAATACTGGTGACAGAATCAGATGGTGGGATACAGCTGCCAGTGACAGATGGTAGGATGCTGGTGACAGAATCAGATGGTGGGATACAGCTGCCAGTGACAGATGGAAGAATACTGGTGACAGAATCAGATGGTGGGATACAGCTGCCAATGACAGATGATAGAATACTGGTGACAGAATCAGATGGTGGGATACAGCTGCCAGTGACAGGTGGTAGAATACTGGTGACAGAATCAGATGGTGGGATACAGCTGCCAGTGACAGATGATAGAATACTGGTGACAGAATCAGATGGAGGATACAGCTGCCAATGACAGATGATAGAATACTGGGGACAGAATCAGAGGGTGGGATACAGCTGCCAATGACAGATGGTAGAACTACTTGGGACAGAATGAGATTGTGGGATACAGCTGCCAGTGATAGATGGTAGAATACTAGGTCAGAATTAGATATTGGGATACAGCTGCCAGTGATAGATGGAAGAATACTGAGGACAGAATCAGATGGTGGGACACAGCTGCCAGTGACAGATGGTTGAATACTGGGGACAGAATCAGATGGTGGGATACAGATGCCAGTGACAGATGGAAGAATACTGGTGACAATCAGATGGTGGGATAAAGCTGCCATTGACAGATGGTAGAATACTGGTGACAGAATCAGATGGAGGGATAAAGCTGCCATTGACAGATGGTAGAATACTGGTGACAATCAGATGGAGGGATAAAGCTGCCAGTGACAGATTGTAAAATACTGGTGACAGAATCAGAGGGTGGGATACAGATGCCAGTGACAGATGGAAGAATACTGGTGACAATCAGATGGTGGGATACAGCTGCCATTGACAGATGGTAGAATACTGGTGACAGAATCAGATGGAGGGATACCGCTGTCAGTAACAAATAGTAGAATACTGATGACAGAAGCAGATGGTGGGATACAGCTGCCAGTGACAGATGGTTGAATACTGGGGACAGAATCAGAGGGTGGGATACAGATGCCAGTGACAGATGGAAGAATACTGGTGACAATCAGATGGTGGGATACAGCTGCCATTGACAGATGGTTGAATACTGGTGACAGAATCAGATGGTGGGATACAGCTGCCATTGACAGATGGTAGAATACTGGTGACAGAATCAGATGGAGGGATACCGCCAGTGACAGATGGTTGTAACAACATAGTAGAATACTGATGACAGAAGCAGATGGTCGGATACAGCTGCCAGTGACAGATGGTTGAATACTGGGGACAGAATCAGAGGGTGGATACAGCCAGATGGAGGGATACCGCTGTCATTAACAAATAGAGAATACCGATGAATACAGTGACATGGAGGGATACAGATGACAGATAATACTGAATACTGGTGACAGAATCAGATGGTGGGATACAGCTGCCATTGACAGATGGTAGAATACTGGTGACAGAATCAGATGGACAATCAGATGGTGGGATACAGCCGCCAGTGACAGATACCTGCCAGTGACAGTAACAGAATATGGAGTGGGATACAGCTGGTGACAGAATACTGATGACAGAAGCAGATGGTGGGATACAGCTGCCAGTGACAGATGATAGAATACTGGGGACAGAATCAGATGGTGGGATACAGAAATGACAGATGGGGTGGTAGAATACTGGTGACAATCAGATGGTGGGATACAGCTGCCATTGACAGATGGTAGAATACTGGTGACAGAATCAGATGGTGGGATACAGCTGCCATTGACAGATGGTAGAATACTGGTGACAGAATCAGATGGTGGGATACAGCTGAGTGACAAATAGTAGAATACCGGTGACAGAATGATGGAGTAACAGCTGCCAGTGATGGTTGAATACTGGGGATAGATCGGTGGATAGAATACTGCCATGACAGAAGCAGATGGTGGGTGGATACAGCTGCCAGTGACAGATGGTAGAATACTGGTGACAGAATCAGATGGTGGGATACAGCTGCCAGTGACAGATGGTAGAATACTGGTGACAGAATCAGATGGTGGGATACAGCTGCCAGTGACAGATGGTAGAATACTGGTGACAGAATCAGATGGTGGGATGGTGGACAGCTGCCAGTGACAGATGGTAGAATACTGGTGACAGAATCAGATGGTGGATACAGCTGCCAGTGACAGATGGTGGAATACAGGTGACATCACAGCCATTGACAGATGGTAGAATACTGGTGACAAATCAGATGGTGGGATACAGCTGCCAGTGACAGATGGTAGAATACTGGTGACAGAATCAGATGGTGGGATACAGCTGCCATTGACAGATGGTAGAATACTGGGGACAGAATCTGATTGTGGGATACAGCTGCCAGTGACAGATGGTAGAATACTGGTGACAGAATCAGATGGAGGGATACAGCTGCCAGTGACAGATGGTAGAATACTGGCGACAATCAAATGGTGGGATACAGCTGCCAGTGACAGATGGTAGAATACTGGTGACAATCAGATGGTGGGATACAGCTGCCATTGACAGATGGTAGAATACTGGTGACAGAATCAAATGGTGGGATACAGGATGTAGAATGCTGGTGACAGATGGCAGAATCTACACGACAGAATCCGACAGTAGAATATAGTTGGCAAAATCGCAAGATGATACACAGAATAAGGTCAGAATGAGATACAGGATCAAACAGTAAGATACAGTTTACAGACTCGGGTGACAGAATACAGTTAACATTTACGTGCCGGGTAAGATTCATCTTGTTCACCTACAATATTGCTTTTGACCCCTAACAGAAGACTGAACAGATACTGTTTTAGTCGCTTCTCTTGCTTAGATTGCCTGTGGCCAATTACGGTCGGGTTTCACCTGAATCATCATAATCAATTATTAACACAAGCAGAGGAAATTAATCACCCACCCCAGCCTTTGTCGTTATTTTAAGACAACACACTGCCTCACTCCCATACATTGGTATTGCGCAGTGATTTCCCCAATACTGATTACAGTCTTTATCGGTATTATCTTACATTTTATGCTTGCTTCACCGAACCTTAAGTTCTTTCGCTTCAATTTTAAATATATATTATCTGAGTGAGTAAGTGGGTGAGTGAGTATGGTTTTACGCCGCTTTTAGCAATATTCCAGCAATATCACGGCGGGGACACCAGAAATGGGCTTCACACATTGTACCCATGTGGGGAATCGAACCCGGGTCTTCGGCGTGACGAGCCAACGCTTTAACCATTAGGCTACCCCGCCGCCCAATATTATCTAAGACATATCTGAATCCAAGTGAGGTGTACATTCATCGTAGTATGAGCAATTTCCGTCAACGATAGGAATATTCTACCGAAGCAAGGAATATATCCGTGTAAGTAGGGAATGCCTCAGTTCAAGCACTCAATTATAGTAAGAGATTCACCTCACTGAGTAAAGAGTGTATGCATCAAAGTGAAGAACACGTCCATCCATGTAGAGAATGGCTTTCATCACAAATATCCACAAAAACATTTGACAAAAACATTTTAATCTAATATGTTACTCATACTATCAGTCACTGTCTTGTCTGGTCCAGTCATGTTCATTTACAAGCCACCGTCATATAGCTGGAATGTTGCTGAATATGGCGTTAAAAGAAGCGATTAAAAGACAATACTTAAATAACTATGAATCATTCCTAAAAGCAAATTCCTATTATACCGATTTAAAAAAAAAAAAATTAATCACTATCAAATACAGATGACACAGTTGTTAGCGAAAAGGCGAGCGTATCCTGCTCCACTTCTGGCACACGTCGAAAACACATACTAAGTCAAGTCAATCGCGTCCCTGAAACAAAAAATCAGGAACTGCATCAGACATCACTTAGGTTATTGATGCAAGTAATCTGAAATTAATGTTCGCCACATGTTACAAACATTACTAAGGCCTTTCATGTTGCAACACTGATCATACAACCTTTGAACAAGGGTAGTTTTGAAATCTTGGAGCTCGGAGAAAGAACATGCTCAATTGTACGTACCTCAAACCTTGTGAAATGGACACCAAGGGGCAAGGATGCTGGAATATTGCTCTATAGTCGCCCCTCCTGCTATAGAGTCTTGAAGATACTTGTCAGTCCGCATCTTAGATCCAAATACAGATCATGCGGTCTCACTGACCTCTTTGTATTGCAGATCAGTTGGGTAAATCAGTGAATTGATTTCCCTATTCGGCAATTACTGAATGGTATCAAGTCATCGGTTTGCCAGTCCCAGAAATAATTCTTATACAGATACAGAGAACCAGATCTGCAAGAAAGCGAACACACTTTAGATGATGTTTGACAAATCAAATTTTCCTGAACCTTTGAAAATAACGATGCAACTTTATCCATGGTAACCACGTCTGTTGACAACCATCCCCTGGATTAGGTATTGAAGTTGTTTCTGAAGTGTGTGGAATGAAATAATGGTGTACAAACTTGAAAAGTATGATCATGTTTTTCTATGACTGAGCCTGATTCCTTTCTGAGATTGTTATGCAAATATTTTGGATTTTTTAAATCCATCTGTTATCAATTACGCTTTCCATTTATGTGAAGAAATTCTTTCTTGTTGGCATTATGGATTGTGGTTAATCGTTGGGACAGAAATTCGGTGGAATATTTAGCTGACCCTTCAATATATCTTTCTCTGCGTGGATATTTATTGGTTTTTGAAATCCAGTACCAACTTAGAATGGAAATCCAAACCAAAAGCGGCGGTGGGGTAGCCTGGTGGTTAAAGCGTTGGCTCGTCACGCCGAACCCCGAGTTCGATTCCCCACATGGGTGCAATGTGTGAAGCCCAATTTCTGGTGTTCCCATCGTGATATTGCTGGAATATTGCTAAAAGAGGCGTAAAGTCATACTCACTCGCTCACTCACCCAAACCAAAAGGTAATAGAACTGATACATGCTTTGGGCGGATTGTTTCTTCAATTGACCTAACCTTGTGAGTGGTACAACTAACAAATTTTCTACTGTAGCAGCCACACTGAGGATGGCAACTAGCTGGGTCAACATGGGTTCGTTCCCATTCTGTTTCCTCTTTTTTGTTTGTGTATACTGCTTCAAGCACTGTTGCCATTCAACATCTACCTTTTCGGTTTGGAGCGTCCATAATGATTTATAAGTCATCATTACAACAGGCTGTCCACGCTGTTTTGGGTCACATTTGAAAAACTGACGGCCTTTGTTATCATGTGACTAACAGGTTGACAATCGTAACATCAACAGGTGGTAGAGTTTACAACATGAACTGTCGAGTTGACGATCTGTAAACACTTGACTATATTTCAGTAACTTCGTGTTAGCATTGACCACCATCCAACGAGTGAATATTTCCCTCCAAATAAGGAATACTTCCTTGTAATTAGAATATACCTCTATCCAAGTAGGGAATACCTCTATCCAAGTAAGGAATACTTTTATCCAAGTAGGGAATACCTCTTTCCAAGTAGGGAATACCTCTATCTAAGTTGGGAATACCTCTATCCAAGTAGGGAATACCTCTTTCCAAGTAGGAAATACCTCTTTCCTAATACCTCTATCTAAGTTGGGAATACCTCTTTCCAAGTAGGGAATACCTCTATCCAAGCAGGGAATACCTCTTTCCAAGTAGGGAATACCTCTATCCAAGTAGGAAATACCTCTTTCCAAGTAGGGAATACCTCTATCTAAGTTGGGAATACCTCTATCCAAATAGGAAATACTTCTTTCCAAATAAGGAATTCCTCCATCCAAGTAGGATATGCCTCTATCCAAGTTGGGAATACCTCTATTTCAGTAGGGAATACCTCTATCCAAGCAGGGAATACTTCCTTCAAAATACGGAATGCTTCCATCCAGGTAGGATATACCTCTGTCCAAGTAGGAAATTCTTCCTTCCATATAAGGAATACTTCCATCCAATTAAGGAATACCTCTATCCAAGTAGAAAAAACATCTTCCCAAGTAGGGAAAACCTCTATCTAAGTTGGGAATATTTCCATCCTTGTAGGGAATACTTCCATCCAAGTAGGGAATACTTCCATCCAAGTAGGGAATACCTACATCCAAGTAGATACTGTCTTTAGTCAAGTTTGGAATATCTCTATCCAAGTAGGGAATACCTACATCCTATTGGGGAATACCTACATCCAAGTAGATACTGTCTTTAGTCAAGTTTGGAATATCTCTATCCAAGTAGGGAATACTCTGCCTGAGTAGAGACTGCCTTTGTTTAAATAGGGAATACCTACATCCAACTGGGGGAAGACGTCCATTTAAGTTGGGAGTACCTCCATCCAAACAATAAATCCATCTTTCTTTGTAAAGCTTCCTGATTTCAATATATGACAGCAGATATGTGAGCATGCATTTACTCCAGAATAAAACAATATTCAACACCAGGAAATACCTCCTCAACTTGAAGCTATTTAGACAATCGAACCCCTCTCCTGACGTCATGAGTGAACGTTTATTTCAGCGCAAGCCGATTATTCCACATGTTACATAAGCACCACCGTGGTATTTCTACAAAAGCGATACAATATAAGAGGCTTCTGGGTTTCAATATGGTCTTCTACAGATCAGGCAACAAGATGATTTTTGTGATTCGTTCCCATTGATTATATTTAATGGACGAATCGGTGATATCAACTTTTCCGGAATTGACATTTACTGTTTTATATGAAGTGAGTATTAAATAATAACAATTAAAACAAGTGCATCTGTGCAACGCATAAGCTCAATCAAGACGAATAATTTCAAACTGAAACTCTGTAACTGTTGGTATAACCCTGGGCTAAAAGCAAAACATCTCTGCATATTCTACTATCAAAAGTCGATTTGATTTGGGCGGGATTGCTCTCCTTTCGTCGTTTCCTCTAAGAAAACCTCATTTTAGATGTGAAAAAAACCACATTGTGAAGTGTCAATAGAGTTAAAAGATTTCTGACTTCTCCATTGATATCACCGTCATTTGTTGACCCTAAGAGTCTTTTACACCATTTAACCTGGACGATTTTAGTGATCCCCTTTCGAGCGTTTTTCTCTGACGTGAATACACTCGGTGACCGAAGGTAATTATTGATATGTAGGTTAAAGGCGAGTAGCGGACCATGGAGATGAGAGCTGGCTGATTACATGCCAGTCGTTCATTCAAACAACGTGTTCTTTGTACAGAGACGACCAGTCACTGTTACTGCATGGCTCACTGTGTCATGGCAGTGTTGTCCAGAATGGTGATAAAGGTTGGACTACTGGGTCTGATCTCACTCGTAGGACAAGGATTAGAGACTACCATTTTGGCTTAACGTGTTGTTTTTTTCAGTATAGCCATCCAGCTGCATCTTTTATCTTGTGACACAGTCTATCAATGCTCTGAAAGTCATTTTTCCATCTGCGACTTTTGGATACTGCGTTTCTAACTGCAACCAGACACTACCAGCTTATGATGCCAGTCCACGAGACATTTCATTTTGGAGTATGTTCAAGATATTTCACATACAGCTATGAGCAAAATAAAATTGTGGTAGCATTTTAATGAATGTATCAATATATTTTAACATATATGTACCTAACCCTCCGACAAGATGTCTGCTATATGTTTGCTTTTATTTTGAACAAGTACTTCATCTTTATGGAAGAAACGTGAATATCACTTCCTGTTGTATACCCGTCGACATTAAGTCAGTGTGTAAATACTGTTACATTATGTACGTGTTCTGTGTGTAATGTATAAGAAACGAAACATGATTTTATATAACGTTGTAATTGTCGTTGATGTAAAGAATGTGATAAAATACTGTTGTGTGATGACACTTATATTTGTTGTCAAAATCATTAGCAACAGCTTTAGATGTAAATCATGGGATTGTACTACACTCCATCTCTCAACTTAATTCTGAAATTCCGAAACCTGGTACAGTTGCTATAGCCTCTGCTTGTACATACCCATGGCATATATACATAGATATGAACCACCTCATCTTTTCTTTTTTTTCGAAAAGGAATTTCGACCTGAATGGCCGTTTGTATCTCTATTGGATATTTGAAAACATGGCGCAGACAATAGATGAATGCTATATATCCAAGTCGCTGCATATACATACGTTTAAATTCATACACATAATTTACTCAGCAAGATGTTGCCACAATATACATGCATCAGTGACGTCAACCTATCCGAATAAATATTGCATACCAGTCATCATATTAAAGTAGTTCTATTGTTGCCATGGTGCCGTGCACTAGTCGTGCACTACCGTGACACGAAGTGGCCATTGTTTTTGTAATCACTGAACAGGCTGGGCGCTGATACACCGAGTTGTCTGCTCCTGTGTCATGTGCTCGTGGAAGATTCAGGTTGGTGAGCTGGTTGGCTCATTGATCCCACATGCAAGCTGTAATTAAGGCTTTGTCTTCTTATAAGCCCTTATCAGATAGATTCATGGTCTGATGATGGCTTAATTGTGTTTTGGCTAGTAGCAACTCCATATACCGCCTGCTTGGACACCAGCCCTGCTGAAATGATAATTCTGAAGTAGTGGCACATGCCCTTTCGAAACACCTGCCCGTCCTTGGTATCCATGCTAAAGTGGGGCACATCTACATGCGTTGTACTGCCTAACCCCAAAACAAGTCCATCATTACTAAAGTGCAGTGGTAAGTCTGAAGTGGGGCACATCTACCTGCGTTGTACTGCCTAACACAAACACATGTCCATCATTGCTAAAGTGAAGTGGTAAGTGTGAAGTGGGGCACATCTACATGCGTTGTACTGCCTAACACAAACACATGTCCATCATTGCTAAAGTGGAGTGTGAAGTGGGGCACATCTACGTGCGTTCTACTGCCTAGCCCAAACACATGTCCATCATTGCTAAAGTGGAGTGGTAAATCTGAAGTGGGGCACATCTACGTGCGTTGTACTGCCTAACACAAACACATGTCCATCATTGCTAAAGTGGAGTGTGAAGTGGGGCACATCTACGTGCGCTGTACTGCCTAACACAAACACATGCCCATCATTGCTAAAGTGGAGTGTGAAGTGGGGCACATCTACGTGCGTTCTACTGCCTAACCCAAACACATGTCCATCATTGCTAAAGTGGAGTGGTAAGTCTGAAGTGGGGCACATCTACGTGCGTTGTACTGCCTAACACAAACACATGTCCATCATTGCTAAAGTGGAGTGGTAAGTCTGAAGTGGGGCACATCTACGTGCGTTCTACTGCCTAACACAAACACATGTCCATCATTGCTAAAGTGGAGTGTGAAGTGGGG